GCATGTATCCCTTGAAATCAGTCTTGTGATCCAGTATGTGATCTCAGAGAATGTTCCATGTGCACTCGAGAAGAATGTGTATTCTGCTACTTCTGGACGAAAAGTTCTGAATTTATCTGTCAAGTCCATCTAGTCCAGTGTATCATTCAGGGCCATTGTTTCTTTGATTTCCTGCCTAGATGATCTGTCCATTGTTGTAAGTGGAATATTAACATCACCTGCAATTATTGTATTCTTATCAATAAGATTGCTTATGTTTGTGATTGATGTATATATTTGGGTGCTTTCAAATTAGGTGCATAAACATTTATAATCGTTATCTCTTCTTGATGGATAGACACTGTAATTGTGATATAATGCCCTTCTTCATCTCTTGTTACAACCTTTAGTTTAAAATCCAGTTTGTCTGATATTAGTATGGCTATTCCAGATTTCTTTTGACTTCCAGTAGCATGATAAATAGTTCTCCATCCCCTCACTTTCAATCTGAAGGTATCCTCAGGTCTAAAATGGGTCTCTTGTAGACAGCATATAGATGGATCTTTTTTTTTTTTTAAATCCATTTTTTTTATCCATTCTGATACCCTATGTCTTTTGATTGGAGCATTTACACCATTTACATCAGAGTATTTCATCCATTATTATTGAAAGATATGGATTTAGTGTCATTGTGTTATCTGTAGGTTTCATGCTTGCGATGGTATCTCTGGACCTTTGTAGTCTTTGCAGCATTCCACTCACAGAGTCCCCCTTAGGATCTCTTGCAGGGCTAGTTTAGTGGTCATGAACTCCTTCAGTTTTTGTTTGTCTTGGAAAGCCTTTATCTCTCCTTCTATTCTGAATGACAGCCTTGCTGGATAAAGGATTCTTGGCTGCATATTTTTCCTATTCAGTACATTGAATATTTTCTGCCACTATCTTGTGGCCTGGCAAGTTTCAGTGGAAAGTTCTACTACTAACCTTATGTGTCTACCCTTTTAGGTTAAGGCCTGTTTATTCCTAGCTGCTTTCAGAATCCTTTGTCTTTGTATTTTGCCAGTTTCACTATAATACGTCATGGAGAAGACCTATTCCTGTTATGTCCGAAGGGAGTTCTCTATGTCTCCTGGATTTGGATGTCTGCTTCCTTCCCCAGATTGGGGAAGTTTTCAGCTATAATTTGTTCAAGTAAACCTTCTGCCCCTTTCTCTCTCTTCTTTTTCTGGAACTCCTATAATATGGATATTATTACCCTTCATTGAATCATTTAGTTCTCTAATTCTCCCCTCATGGTATAGTACTTTTTATCTCTCTTTTTCTCAGCTTCATCATTTTCCATAATTTTGTCTTCTATTTCACTTATTCTCACCTCTGCCTCTTCCAACCTCACTGTCACTGCATCTAGTTTATTCTGCACCTCATTTACATTTCTTAATTTGTCATGACTATTTTTCAGTTCCTTGATCTCTGCAGCAATAGATTCTCTGCTAACTTCTATGCTTTTTCAAGCCCAGTGATTAAACTTATGACTATTATTCTAAATGCTTGATCATATATATTGCTTATATCTGTTTAGAGCAATTCTTTAGCTGTCATTTCTTCTTGGAATTTCTTTTGAGAATTCTTCTGTTTTATCATTTTGGCTAGTTTTCTTTCCCTTATATGTTTTAATAGCTTGTTATGTGTCCTGAACTGGCAAGCACTATGATATTAAAGAGGGGTCATACATTGTCCAAGGCCTGGCCCATCAGGAGGTATTTTTGCAGTGTGTTACATGCTGTCTGTTGTTGTGACTCTGGTTGCCATATCTCCCTACTTGTAGTGGTGGTTTGAACCCTCCACCAGGTGTGCATTGATTTGTTCATTGAAGTAACCTTGGGAAAAACAATTTTTTAAAAAAAAGGGGATGGTGGTGGTGGTGGAAGAAGCCTTATCCCATACAAAGAGAGAAATGACTGGGGCGGGGAAAAATAAAATAAAATAAAATAAAATATAAAATAAAATAAAATAAAATTGACCAGGCAGAGAAACTATATGGTTTAATCTAGAGAGAGAGGAAAATAAAGAAGGAGATACAGAACAGGTGTAAAGAGAACATATTAAATATGTCTGCTTATACAACCAGAATAACCAGACTAGAGAAGGGAAATATAAGAGGAAGAAAAGGAAGAAGAAGAAGAAAAAAATATATAGAATTGACCAAGAATTAAATTAAAAAATGCAAAACCCTGGGTGCCTCAGAACCAGTGGCTGCACTGATCTGGAAGAGGGCTGTCTGATTGGTCAGCATCAATCCCACTCCAATAGATAGCTAGTTACCATGTCCACAGGGGTGTGGTTTGGTGTAGGCGACCTGCCTCCACTGTGGGCCCCTTGGTACCCTGAAGCCCCACCTTTTTGGTGATGAGGAGAAAAATGGTGACACCATCCCCTGAGGTGTCCCCCTCCCCCCAGGCTGTCCTCACAGTGCTGCATAGGTGAGAGCAGGTTGCTTCCCCCTGCCCCGCTCCACAGTCTCCCACGCCTACTAGGCACTTGACTGGAATTCAAACCCTGACGTCTTAAAAGATCTTGCTCTGCACACCCAGGTTCTGGGGAAGTGCCCTGCCTATAATGGGCCTCTGGCTGGCGGGCGCAGGCAGGGTCCTTTGTCCTTAGAATGGCTATATACCTTATTCCCCCAGCACTCCAGGGAGGGGATTGCTTTCTCCCACTGTGGACTGCGCCTCTGAGCTAGTTACCAAGCCCAGGGCTAGCTCCCCTCCTCCCAGGCGCATGAACAGGGCAGCCAGTCCCAGTTCCGAGAAAGCCCTGCAGTTAGAAATTGGATCTTTCTCCGTTTTTTTCCGATCTCCAGTCCATGGTTTTTCTCTTGTCCAAATACAATCCTACACTTCCACACCCTCTCTTTCTCTTCCTTTTGTCTCTCCATAAAAGAGGATCCCTCCTCTCTGTGCCTATGCCACCTGTTATATCTCTCCCAGTTCACAATCATGCACCTATGGCCTGCCAAGTTGTCCCCGTGGGCCCCTGGAGATGTCTCTGTGACTCTGAAGCCTGGACTCTTGGAATTCCAAGTCCGCTGGCCTCAACACTACTGTGTTTGAGGGAAGAAGGAACTTCGGATCCCCTACTTCTCCACCATGTTGACAACTCTTCTTTTTTAT